AGATCACAGTGGGGACGCTCCAGGGAGTCCCGTCAGGCCTTGGAATGAGTCTGCACACATAGGCGGCCTGCAGGGAGCACCCCAGGGTGGGGGGCAGGCAGGAGGGGTCATGTGGGGTGCAGCCCTTAACAGAGGACGCTCAGTGTCCTTTCTCATGTGTTTGGGCCAGCCTGGATTTGCACAACACAACCTGAGAGTGAGGCCCGCCTGGCCAGCAGCCCCACCCCCCTGACACTACCCCGTGGGCAGGCTCTCCCATCCCCTGCCCTGTGCTGCCACTGAGTGTTCCGTGTCTCTGTGTGTCTCATCTCCCCCATAACTGGCGCATTCCAGGAGGGACCACATCTTGCCTTCTCAAGTATCACACTAAAAGCAGCTGCTGTTTGTTCACTCATTTACTCTGCAGATATTCATGATCGCCAAGCACTGGGCAGGGAGCAGAACAGACGTGGCCTCTGCCCTTGGGGGGCTGACAGCCGGGTGGGGGAGTGGTGGTCGTCATAGGGCCACACGAATGAGGATAAATTCCTGATGGTTGAGGACAAGAGGCAAGGGCTTATTGTGGAGGCTCCGACCAGGTGAGAAGTCAAGGAAGGCTTCCTGGAAGAAGTGGTGCTTTTGCTGAGGTCTGAAGGATACATAGGTTAATGAAGAGAGTGTGACCACGTGCATCCCAGACAGAGGGAGCAGCACATGCCCAGGTCTCGGAGCAGGAAGAGCAGTTAGGACCAGGGGCTGCAAAAAGGCCCGCTGGGCTGGGGCTCAGAGCCGCGGGGCAGGGGGAGGGGCGAGGAGGCAGAGTCTAGCCTGAGCAGCCACCATACAGCGTGTGAAAGGGGTTGTCTTCATCCAGAGAGCAACAGGAAGTCTTTGAAAGCTTTTAGGCTGGCAGGGATGGGAGAAATAACATGATTAGATTTGCATCTTGAAAAGATCACTCTGGTTGCCGTGTCAGGAACCAGCTGGGGACTGGCAAAGTGGGGGTGAGGAGACCTGCTGGGAGGCCCCGGAGATGGCAGCAGCCTGGATCGGGGAGGGTGACAGAGGGGACTGGACTGTTCGAGATTTAAAGTTTGGGGAGATGGATTATTTGGGTGGGAGTGGGGGAGAGTGCGGGCGGAGGGTGATTCTGGGTTTGGGCTTGTATGATCGATGGGTGCTGGCATCCTTTACGGATCCAGGCCTGTGGGAAAGGGTGGTGGGTACTGTCCACTCTTCACCCTGTCCTGTGCTAAGCACTTTCATGACTCCTCTCCCTTCATCCTCCTACTGTGCATGAGTCTGCCTGTTACCCTTGTCCTGCAGATGAGGGAATGAGCCTCAGGGAGATTAGTAACAATCCAAGTTTGCATCTGAACGGCAGGCTCTGCTGTCCTGCCCCAAAGCCCATGTCCTGTGGCCTGTGCCCTGAGCTGTCCCCTTCCCCGTGTGAGCTCTAGGCTGGGGTGTATGTTTGCGAAAGGAATTCACGGAGTGCCTGAGACAGGATTGAGGAGATTGCATGTGCCAACTCAAGGCCTGGACTTTTGTCACTTCTGCTCTGAATGAGGCCCAGGAGCCAGACTTGGTTTGTTTAACACAGACACAGTTCCAGGCTGTGGAAAGCATGAGGCAGCTATGCCAGGGAAGCCAGTGCCCACTTGCCCAGGGCAGTTCCCCTCAATGGAAGCTCATCTCAGGCAGGGAAGCAGGGGCCCACCCCCGGGCCCCGGGACTGTCCTTGACACGGCTGAGCCGTGTTCCCTCTGCACTGACTTAAGGTCGCAGCTGGCTCACACTCTCTCTCACTGGCTTTTTAAAATCTACCTGCTTAATTTTCTTTTTTGGAACCTGGGAATGAAGACCAAATCCATAGGGGGAAAGGCTCATTATTCTCTTACTGATTCGAGGTTTATTGGAGTGGCAATTATGTATCACTTGAACTGGAGCATGTTATCTTTTTGCTGGCCTGGATTCCCCAGCCAGAGACGCTGCACATCCGAGGGATGTGGGATCTGACCACGGATTCCACCCGTGGTGACTGGGAGCCTGAAAACAGGGCTGTGCACGGGCGACGAGGGTGTGCCTGGTCATGCCCCCGGGGCCCCCACAGCGCTGCACAGGGCAAAGGAAGGGGGGGACATTTGGGACATGCCACCCTTACACACACACACACACACACACACGCACGCACACTCTCACACATGCACACGCGCACACACACACGCACGCACACTCTCACATGCACACATACACACACGCGCGCACACTCTCACATGCACACACACACGCACGCACACTCACACATGCACACACACACGCACGCACACTCTCACACATGCACACACAAACATACGCACACACACTCTCACACATGCACACACACATACACACACACGCACACTCTCACACATACGCACACGCACGCACACATGCACACGCACACACACGTACGCACACCCAGCATGACCATCGGCCGTTCACCCCTGTGTAGGGCAGGGCGGCCACAGGGAGGGAAGCTGCGGGGAAGCCTGCGGAGTGTTGCTGGGCAGGCCGCTGGGCCTGGGCTCCCTGCCCGCAGCTGGAAACCCCTCTCCTTTGAAGAGCGGCTGCCTCCCTCCCTCCCGAGAAATATCGAGGAGGACGGAGCCAGACTCCCCAGCCCGTCTTGGCTCCCAGAACTGATGTCTTGGAGCTGATGAACACATGCGGCTACACACCCGTCCCCAGCAAAGCCTTGTCCCAGGTCCTTTCCTGTCCCGTCTCTGTCCATTCATTTGTGAATCATCAGCCACACTCCCAGGCACATGAGCCAGCTCCTTGGAGAGCATGGACACCAGCTCGGGACCGGGCGGGGGAGGGTAGTACCCAGCTCTCCGGAGGTCTGGAAGAAGGAGCCTCCTAACCCTGACTGTCCCTAACTGGCTGGTCTCAGGCTGTTGACCATCTCCGAGCCTCAGTTTGCCCAGCTGCCTGATGGAGATCCTAACTCCCGCCTCCTTCATACTTCACTGCCTGGCACATACGTGCTCAGGAAATGGCAGTGACTGGTCTCCTGCTCTCTCCTCGTTCCCGGCGCCATTCCCCTGGGAGGGGGCAGAGCACCCCGTGTGCATGGAAGGCCAGCTGTCGCCAAACCCAATAAGCATGTGGAAAACTCAGTAGGAAAATCTCACCTCTTGAAGGGCCACACTGTGTATTTACTCCGGATAGTGGGAATTAGCAAGGAAAACAGCCACCTGGCTTCAGTGACTCCTTCCTCCCTCTTCAACCTGTGAGGAGACGCCCGTGTGCGTTTCTCGAGGCCAGTCCTAGAGGTAGAAGAGCTGGGGGTGGGCACTGGAAGGGGTATTGGGAGGAGCTCTAGTGGAAAAGAGGGAATCTCCAGACCAGGTCACAGGTGGTGGTGCAGGGCTGCAGGATTCAGGCTGCTGTGCCCCTGGAGAGGCTGAGCCCCAGCTTGGCACTGATCCCAAACCCAGGCCTGGCACAGACGTGACTGGGCCCCTCCCTCTCTGAGGGACCATGGGAGCTCAGAGGGAGAGCAGCACAGCAGTGGGCACCCCGACAGGGGACGCTCACCCGGATGTGCTGCACCTCGGAAGACCCCAAGCCCAGAACCTTCACAGGAGCTGGAAAGGGGCCCCCATCACGACTGGGGCAGACTTTCTTGCCAGCCCAGAGAACTGGGAATTTGGAGAAGATTACATTTGGAGAAACAGAAGAAAAGTGACGTTTCTCCTGCCTAAGTACTGGGTGAGCGCAAAGGCATCCCCCTAAGAATGTAGCAGAGCTTCTCTTCCGCCGAGATCTGCCTCCCGCCTCCTGCAGCGCCGGGCTCAGCGGCCCAATCAGGCGGTGAGCACAGGCTCCGGGAAGCCAAGCTGCTGACATTTTCCTCTCCGTGGAGAGGTGTGCTCCTCGCTCAGTTGGCAGCCTGCAGAAAAGGCCAAGCAATAGATCCAGCCTTCCCTCGGTGGGGGGGGGGCAGGTGGGCGGGCAGGAGCGAACCCTCTGTCTGCAGGAACTGGGCAGCTTCCACGTGGCAGAAACATAGATGAGCCCTGTGTGACAGTTCTCCGAGGAGGACCTGCTGTCACCAAGTCAGACGCTGCCCGGTTAGCCAGGAACAAGTCTCAGCCCCGCCAGGTCCCCCTGCCTTCTGGCGCATTTCATTCATCTGGCCGTTCCCACCACCGGGTGTTGCTGTGCGTTTCAGGGAAGCAAAACGTGTATTTAGAAGTTATGCACTTAAGCAGCGCTAGAGAAGGTAGAACTCTGCAGACCTGAGGTTCTGGCTCCTGAGGTGTCCGGGGAAATTACAGAACGGCTCTGGAGTCAAACCTGAGTTCGTCACTTGCAGGGTGAACTTGGCAAATCACAACTACGGTGAGCCCAGACGCCTCACCTGTAAAATGGGCCTGATGCTTAGGGAATAGGGTTCCCGGGATCGTCCAATGAAGGGACTTGGCATAAAGTAAGTGCTCCAGCTGGCACTGGCATTTCTCACTACATCGTCTTCTCACCGGCTCAGGCACACACGTGACTGTGTTGCACAGTTGTGCACAGATGCGCGTTTTCTTTGTGGCATCACATCATTCCTGCCCATATTTGCAGGGATGCACGCAGGCTGCAGGCTGCAGTGCCCAGGCCACAGCCTATTCTGTTGTGTGTGTTTGACTCTGCTGCTGGTGCGGGCATTTGGGTTGTTTCCAGTTCTCTGCTGTTGAGCGTGTGCCCCTGGGAAAATCTACAAGCTTATTCTTGACGTGCTCCCAACAGAATGTAATTGTGGGGGTGAATCTAGATCACGGAGATCCATGGACGGGCACATCCATTGTGGCCCAGAGCCACCTGCGGGTTTTAGGTGACCTGTGTCCTAGGGTTGCTACCCTTCTGGCCTGAAGCAGAAGCCATCCCTGCAGAATAAAGCCACGGGTCCCTCCGTTACAGCTTCCCCAGCCCCGAGCCGAGGAGCAGGCAGCTGAAGCGTTGACCTTCCTGTGTCCTCTCTCTTGTAGAAAGTCTGCACCAAGTGTGGGATCGAGGCCTGCCCTGGCCAGAAGCGGGCCCTGTGGCTTTGTAAGATCTGCAGTGAGCAGAGAGAGGTAGGGTGCCCAGGGCAACCTGGGGGGGGGGCACTGGGGCTGGGGCTGAGCCCATCCTGATTGGGGGAAGTTCATGGTTGGTCACCGGGAGGGATTTCTCTGGAGGTCAAGGAGGAACTACTGGGGGGTGACCAGGGAGAAGGGTGGGAAGGGTCACCTGCCGGCTTGCCCGTTCTCACAGTGCAGAGGTGGCGGTGGGCCCTGGTTCTGCGATGCCTGGGGTCTGTGGCTTCAGAGGAAGCCCCGCACACTGAGTGTTGGTCATGTGGCGTTGGGGGTGGAAGTGGCCTGTTGTTATAGCCACAGTGGTGGCCGCCCCCAGTTGAACGTTTATTGTGTGCCTGGCACTGTGCTCAGTTATCCACATGTATGAATTAATTTCATCCTTCTACTGATGGGGAAACGGAGACTCGGAGGTTAACTGACTTGTGGGCACCCAGCTAGCTGGTGAGGGAGCTGGAGACACACGCCGCTGTGGTCTGCTGTAAGGATGTCCCCCAGAGTCCCTTCTGGGGCTAAGGGTCTAGAATTCTGGTTCCAACCCCATTTTAGGGGAAGAAACTGAGGCTCAGTGAGGCAGTCACAGCTGGGGGGCTTGAGCCTGCATCTCCTAACCCCAAACTCAGGGCATTTCTCACTGTACCAGGTCGGAAGTGGGGCCAGACCAGAGCAGGACGTTGGCAAGCAGCTCATGGGGAGGGTCATGGGGCAGGGGTGGTGGGGACAGAATGAGCCTGACAGAGGGCTCTGTCCCCGGATGCCAGATGTGGATTTTTTTTTTTTTTTAACTTATCCTGCTTGGGGCTTGGTGTGTGCTTTTAATCTGAGAATCCATCAAGTGCCTCCAGTTATGGGAAAGTCTCAGCCCGGCTAGTAGAATATTGCTGTTTCTACTAGTCCGTGTCTCCCCTTCCGGAGAGCCTGTTGGCGACCTCGTGGAGCCTCTTTCTCCATCCTCCGTGGCTCCCAATGCTCCTGTTTATTTCTTTATCTTTCTGGAATGCTTTCTAGGTAAATTGTTTCGTACTGTCTTCCAGTTCACTAAATCTCTGGGACTGTCTCCCAGCTGTCAGCGGTGTCGATGACCTCTCTTAGCATCAGCTTTCCTTGGGTATTTTGGAATTATTTGGGTTTGTATGCTCCTCTTGAATAGGAATCCGTTCCTCCCTCTCTCTCTCCCTGCCCGTCACCTCCACCCAGGTCCTGCGTGCCCCGTGCAGAGCCAGGTGTCTTGGGCTAGTGGTGAGCTGTGTCCATGGTGCTAATGGGATTATTCCCAGAGCCAATCACCAAGGCCCTGGCTGTGTGGGTGCTGCTGCCAGCCCCCCTCAGTGTTCCTATTCTCAGGTAAGCTCTAGTCTGAGGGGGAGGGAGGAACTCTGTTCTTTTCGGTCTCTTTTCCCAGATGGGAAATCCCTTCCCCAGCCCCCATTCTCAGTGACTCTGGCTCTGGTCCCCCCCCTGTCGTGGGGCACTTTCAGTCTCAGTCCCTGTGCCCTGGAAGACCGTGCTCCCCAGTGCCTCCACCTGCTTCGGGACCACGCTCCGCAGCTGGGCCTTCAGCTCCTCGAGGAGGACACATGCGGAGTTTCTCATCCACTGAGATCAGCGTCTGGCTTTGGAACACAGCTGGGTAGACTTGTGTTTAGAGCATTCTCTTCTGCCACTGCGGTGTCTTTACAACGGGGAAGGGACCAGCGGGCGAACGGCCATTCCGTCTGCCTAGAGGCCGGGTTGCTCATCCCTGGCTGCAGACAGTGGTCTCTGTTCCCAGAGGGGCTCCAGGAGCTCAGCGAGGTGGCTGCGAGTCCAGAGTGATGCGCGCGGTGCCTGGCACAGCACAGCTGCTCTGAACCCCAGAGGCCGCCTCCCTGCCGCCCGAGACGCCCCCTTTGAACGTGAGGTTCTTCCGGTCTTCAGCGGGCCCAGCTACCTATGAGAGGGGATTCCTCAAAGCGGTGTCTTGTGGGAGACACCTTAGCAGGATGAAAGGACAGTCACAGCTGAGCTGTTAGGGGACAGCGACGAAGGAGCCGCCACGGAAAAGAAGGCGGATGAAAGGAAAGGCGAGTGTAGCCAGTGGAATAACTGAGCAGCGAGCTGCGGTGGCAGCTGGCCCCGTGCAGCCCCGTGCGTCCCCGTCCGTCCCCACCACGAGTTCCCCTCGCGTCCGTGATAGTCCCGAGATACCACGTGCAGGGCCGAGCCCGTCCTAATCTCCACAGCACTGCGTTGCCCAGAACATCTGAAATAGCTTAGCATGAATTTTCTTATCTTTCTTAAGGCAACAAATGAGAGGCTGTGCGTTATGCTATCACTTTGTCCTTGAATTTCCAGAGGCCAGTCGAACCTAGCAGGATGAATGCTGCATTCCGTCTCTGCGGTACCAGGCACACTGTGGGCATTCAGGGTGCGTGGATGGGCCATACGTGTGCATGTCTATGAGTCTGGGTGCCTGTGGGCACCATACCCAGGTGTGCCTTTCCTGCCTGCTTTTGGGGTGGGAGAATGACAGGGTAATTGGCTTCCTAATGCCTTTTTTTTTTTTTTTAAGTTAGAAAGAGATCTAATCACAACAAAGAGCTAGCTAAATAGAAAGAGCGTTTAAAATGTCATTTTAAACGCCGCATACAGCTGGTTCTGAATCTGTGATAAAAATTAGGAGTTCCGTCCTGCAGAGGAAGCCAGGTCCTGATGGAAGAACTTGAATTTTCTGGTGGAGACTCTCACACCACTCGGCCCAAACATGCTCATCCTTCTTTCTTTCGGATGCTCACTTCCATCATCTCCGGCTGTGCTTTCAGGAATTTTCTGGAGTGAGATGAACGCTGGTTAAACGTCCCTGGGCCGTGAGGTTGGCGTTGCTGCCCTTGCGTGGTGCCACGGTGTGTGGGTCTGCCCTCTGCTCCTGAGAGGTTGACATTCTAATGCGTGTGCATTCATTCAGGCACCCGGCACATGTTTATCGGGCATCTTCTGTGTGCCAGGCAAAATAACTCTGCTCGTGGGCAGGAGGCCACAAACACAGTAAAGTAAATGCTACCGTGTCGCAGGTGGTGATAGAGTGTTCAGGGTAAAGGCAGGAAGAGCGCTGGGAGCAATGTGGGCAGCTGTTATTTTACGGGGGGGGGGGGGGGTCCGGTGTTGACGTGTGGCCGTAGGGATGGAAAGCATTACAAATAGAGGGTGTGGTGAGTGCAAAGGCCCTGAGGCAGGTGTGTGCTTGGTCATTTTGAGGACTAGCAAGGAGACCCGTATGGCTGGCTTTAGTCAGGGTCCAGAGGGGAGGTCGGAGATGTGGCAGGGGGTCAGACCACGTTGGTCCATTGTAAGGACTTTGGCTTTTACTCTGAGTGAAATGGGGAGCCTTTGAGGGTCCGGAGTGGAGGAGAGACATGACCTGAAACTTCCCTCTCTTTTTTATTTTTATGTTTTTATTGATTTAGAAAGAGAGAGAAACATCGATGTGAGAGAAAGACATTGATCGGCTATCTCCTGCATGCCCCCTACTGGGGATCGAGCCCCAAACCTGGGCATGTGCCCTGACTAGGAATCGAACCAGGACCTCTTAGTCCATGGGACAATGCTCAATCCACTGAGCCACATTGGCCAGGCCCTCCCTCTCTTTTTAAAGGATACTCTGGCTGCTGTGTTGAAAATAAATTGTAGACTATAATGTCAGAGTCAGTATCATGACATTTTATCTCTCTTATTTAATATTACCCCAGATATTTACGTTCTTGATTGTTGTGACCTTTAGAAGTTTTCATTTTAAAAAATATATATTTTACTCTTTTTTTTATTATAATATTAATATGGATCATTGACATTTACAATGTGTAAAAAAAAAAGTAAAATAATAGACATAATCTTACCTTCTAATCACTGTTAAAATTTTTACTTCTGCCCTGGCCGGTTTGGCTCAGCGGTTAGAGCATCGGCCTGCGGTCCGGAGAGACCCGGGTTCGGTTCCCGCTAAGGGCATGTACCTCGGTTGCAGTTTGTCCCCGGCCCTGGTTGGTCATGCGGGTGGCAGCCACTCGATGTGCCCCTTTCATGTCGATGTTTCTCTCTCTCTTCCCCTCTCTCTCTCTCCCTCTCCCACTCTATCTGTGCAAAAAATGGAAAAATGTCCTCGGGTGAGGATAAAAAATAAAAAAAAAATTTTTACTTCTGATCTTCTGGGGTTTTTTCCTTTATATTGTTGAGCCCATGTTTTAAAATTAACATATATTGCAAGTAGTTCTCAGTGTAACCAATAACTCTTCGTAAACATTCTGTCATATGGATATTCTGCTAATTTAAGACATCTAAATATTCCCCCCTTATTCATAACTGCAATATATATCTGTGTGCATAGCTTCTTGACTACATTTTAGATTTTATCCTTAGAATGGATTCTTAGAGGGAACAATAAATTTCGGTGGCTATAGTTTCTATTTATTATAGACACTTGACTTATTACTGTTGATTTATCTTATGAATAGCTGGTATATAGTTTTTATCCTTTATTGATTTTGGAGAGAGAGAGAAACATCGATGAGAGAGAACATTGATGGGCTGCCTCCTACATGCCCCCCACTGGGGATTTGGCCCACAACCTCGGCATGTGTCCTGACTGGGAATCGAACTGGCAACCTCCTGGTGCATGGGTCGACACTCAACCACTGAGCCACACCAGCCGGGCATTTTTCATCTTTTTATTTTTATTTCTTTAATCTATCTATCTATCTATCTATCTATCCTCACCCGAGGACATTTTTGCATTTATCTTCAGATAGAGCAAGAGGGAGAGAGGTGGGGAAGAGAGAGAGAGAGAGACAGCGATGTGAGAGAGACACATCGGGTGGTTGCCACCCACATACCCACATAACTCCAACCGGGGCTGGAGACAAACTACAACTGAGGTACGTGCCCTTAGCGGGAACCGAACCTGGGACTCTGGTCTGCAGGCCAATGCTCTAACCACTGAGCCAAACAGGCCAGGGCCATTTTTCATC